TACTCTGAAAGGAAATTCAAGAGGTGTGCCCTATGAAGGGAGGAGGACTTGAACACTGGCCACCCGTCTTCACATCCCCTCAGTGAAGCCTTCCCAGGTCGGCTGTGGCAGTTGGCTTCCCTTTGAAAGGAAGGGAGGAAATTTGATACACAATAAGGTAATAAGCCAGAACCACTGAGACCACCCATGTGAGTCAAATACTGGGCTGGACTTGAGCCCCATTAGTGGGCAAATTTCAGGGCACTGCTCTGTCTATGTGGGGTTGGATCTCTACTCGCTGCACATGATACATTATTCTTAAACATAGAAATAGGTGTTGAGGAGAGGTCTGTAGCTAAAGCTTTAGGAATATACAGGTCTTTAAAATAATACTGCATTTCATTTTCCCTTGTCGACCTCTTCTAAAGTTGTTAGATAGCTGGGAACACCAGTGCACACCTGTAATCCCAGTGGCTTGGGAGGCTGAGGCAGGAGGACTGTGAGTTCAAAGCCAGCCTCCACCAAAAAGAGGCACTAAGCAACTCAGGGAGACCCTGTCTCTAAATAAAATACAAAATAGGGCTTGGATAGGGCTCAGTGGTCGAGTGCCCCTGAGTTCAATCCCTGGTACCAATCAATCAATAATTTGTTATATATTTAGCCCTTTAAGAAAATTTTTTTTCTAAACATCCCCCTCTGTCCAGCCCCTTACCACCTTTAGCTGTCCCTGAACAGGCTGCCCACTCTGACAGGAATGCTGTTCCAGGACTCACTCTTTTCCTACCTTGTCCCCAAAGGAGTTCAACTATGATCTTTGCCTTTGACACTGTAGAAGACAGGTGACATCTCATCTACTTAAAAACAGAATAAAACTGGTAGTTAAGTGAATCTTCCTTTATAATAATGACTTCTAAAAGAGGAAGATGTTGTCCCTATTGCTGGACATGATGTATGTAGCAGATAAAAGATGACCACAAAAGCCTTTGTTACTCCTCCCATTGAGAAGCGGGCCACTGTCCCTTCCCTTGACTGGGCTGGCATGTGACTGCTTTGGCCAAGAGAGTATGGCAGAATGACGCTGAGCCTGTTCCAGGCTGGCCTGTGGAGAATGGGCAGCTTTGACTGGGCTCTGTTGGAAGGTCAGCCACCATATACTTTGCTGGGAGGACCACCTGGAAGGGCCCTGAGTTGACATGGACAGGAAGAAAGGGCCTGGTGGTGCCCAGCCTTCCACTTACCCTACCAAGCTACTAGGAACACGAGGGAAGCTGTATTGGACTTTAAAACCATCTCAGCCACAGGGAAATGCACTAAGAGACCCTACTCATTGCCATGTGGAGAAGACTCCCAGTCAAACCCTTCCTGAATCCCTGGCCCATGAACTTGTGAGACATGACATTATAGTTGTCTTAAGCCACTGGATTTGGGGGGCAGCTTGTTATGCAGCATTACTAACTGGATGATATAAACGCAGTGGCCCCACCACTGACCATGCTGTCCTGCTGGATCGAGCACCTTTGGAGGCTCTGTCTTTGTTTCCGTCTTTCCAGAGAGACCCCTGCTATCCTGCACTCTTCTCCGACTCTAGCCTGAGCTGTCTGGGTTTGTGAGAGATAGGCAACCCAAGCTGGGTGACCCAGGCAGATTCTGTCAACTCCTACCTCTAGCCACAGTTGGCAGAGGTGGACAGTGACTTAACCAGGACCAGAGAGATCCTCTCTCCTGGACATGTGGACCCAGGAATCAGAAACGGCTGACCCTTTTGTGTCTCCGATTGGGAGTTGCTGAGATGTAAATGAGGAGGGCTGGAGGTAATCATTTTCTAGTGTGTGCTCTGGGGGAAGCATGATACGGTGTGCAGAGTAGGGGGGAGGAGCTGGCAGAGAGAGGCAAGCAAGGGACGCAGGCAGCTGGCTATGGGTTTGGATGTACACATTTCCTTGACCCTTAGAATCCTCTTTCTCTCTCTTGCTTGAGCACTTGAAAGGGTCTCAGTTTTTTGTTTTTTTTTTTTTTGCAACTGGAAAAAATGGCCTCTGTGATGTCTGAGGTAAGTAAGAATGCTCAGCCCTGGAAACAGAAGAGAAGGCTGCCCAGGCCAGTGAGGTGACAGCAGTGTCCTTCTGTTGGCCTTCCCTCTACAGAGCAGGGGTGGTGGTGACTGGGTGCAAGTCAAGCCCTGGTGTCCTGCAGCTGCCGCACAATAGGAAAGCACAACAATACACTTATCCTCTTCCCAAAGGCCTTCCAGTCCTACCTCTGTCCTCTACGATGGCTGTCCGCTGTCTGAACTAGAAACACAGACAGCTGCTACCTCTCAAGTTCAAATAGTCACCAGACCTAGGACCACAAGGCCCCAGCTCTCATCCACTGCACTGTTCCAAAATGCTCCCTCGTTGTCGAGATAGGGACTTGCAGCACCTCCTCTACTTCCAGAGCAGTCACTACGCAGCACTTGCCACTCTCTCCACTGTGTTCACTAGTCTACCTGGGGAGGGTTCAAGGGCGGGGCAGGGGCATAGTCACCGGTGCACCCCCAATGCCTTGTCCAGTGTTTGGGTCAGAGCCAGAGTTCAAAGAGCATGGACTGAAATGAAACACTGCTCTCTGATGACTTGCAAAGCTATTTGACCCATGCGGCCTCATGCGACAGCTTCCTCAAAGCTTTCCTTCCACCCTTGAGCTATGGCAAGGTCTTGTTAGGGTTAAGGCACATACGGTGACCTCCGATTGCAGTGACCCTGCTCTTTCTCCAAGACTGCCTCAGTAGGTGACATCTGGCTTCTCAGATCCTCCCTTTTTGGATTTCACTTAGCTGAGGGAACTCAGGGTTCTGGTCACACTATGACAGAGATCTCCTGCAATTACCCTTTCTTAAGCAAATGTGACAAGAGCAAAGCAAAGCAGATGGCAGGTGGGACCAGGCAGGATAGCACCCACAGGAGATGGGACACCCCTGAGTGAAAGGGGCATGCACTCCACAAAAAAGAAGTGGGACATGGCCATGATGTTCCCTGCTCTGTATCCCTGTCTGGTCCCCTACACTCAGCCATGGAGAAGAAAAGCACTTCCTCTCATTTCAAGAACCCATAGAAAGACAGAAGGAAGTCTCCTTCTCTGTCTCTGTCTCTCTCTCACCGTCCAGCTGGAAGCCTGTCTCTCTGGATTCCAAACACTGAGCAGGCTTTGTTCTCTACCGCAGACCAGAGGCCCTCCCGGCAGGAAGGAGTTGGAGTTGAGAAAAGGGAGAATTCAGAATCCATGTGGCAATGCAGATTAAATAAACAACCAATTAGTGGATTAAAACAAAAAGGTAATAATATTCACTGTTGGCAAGTAGGCAGGAAAATGGATGCTTCAGACACTCGGCTCGTGGGAGGGAGTCTGTATAACCTTTCCAGAGGGCAATTGGCAACATAAGATAAAAGGCACAGTCATTCCATTTCTAGGGTTTCATTCTAAGGATATAACAAAGTATTTGTGCAAATATTTGGCTCCAGAGTTATTCACTTTTGAAGGAAGTGTGCAACCAGGAGCAACCTAAATTCCAGCCCCAAGGGACCAGATGAATAAACAGCAGACTCTCTGTAGCTTTAAGATGTGGCTGGAAGTGGGCTCTTCACGTTATGGAAAGACAGTCACAGTATTATCTTCAGGGGATAATAGCTTGCAAAATAGTACACAGGGTGCCTAAAAAGCATGGGAAATGCATTTTCAAATAATACGCTTAAAATTTCTTCCACACCAAGACACCTTTTCAGGTGAAGTAACCTTACGTTTAAAGCAATGGTCTGATTGCTAATCTGAGATAAGTACAGTACATGCATTATTTTTTCCCTGTATTTCTAGACATTTTGGTTACGCTTCTGAAATATATTTATTACGCTGGGAAAATCTAACTAACACATTATTCAGAACTAAGTTGATCCTATGAGAACCCCTGGTTCATGTCCGTATATGCAGAGGAAAAGGTCAAGAGAGACAATGCTACACTCATTGTGGTTATTTCTGGGATGTGGACATGTAGGAATTTTATATTTTTTCCCTTAATGATATGTTATTATGTTTGATCAGTACATATTATTATCTTGTAATCCCAAAGAAATTAATATTTTGAATTTAATGTATTCATCTATAAAAATCTAGGATAACCTCCATCTGAGACCTAGACACTGGAGAAGCATGGGGGCTTTGGTGTCACGAACTCCCAGTGATGGTCCCTGGTGCTGTTTTGGATCTGGGGACACAGTGGATATAAGGACAGACAGGCCCATCACTGCCCAGTGGAGGGGACAGACTTTCATCAGATGACAACTCTGATACCATTGTTGATAAAGATGGAGACTCTGACATAAAAAGACTCCAGATTTCAGAGAGTGAAGCAAAGAAATCACCCTAGGCTTGGGGGTGAGGATACCCCTTTCAACTTGAGAGAATGATGCTTGACATGAATGATGAGTAGGTGTGCCCTGGTGACAGGGACAGGGCGATTCTATACCGTGGCTCAACTCCAAATGGACCACTACAGGGTTGGGGGAACAGAGCTCTAGACCTGTGGCCATCTCAGTTACTGAGTCTTCTGGGCAGAAATCTTTCTCATATTCCATGGGGGAAGAGGAGGTGGGAAGAAAAAATAAATAGCTCTGTAGTTTCCTTTTTTATTCTTTCTTCAAGCAAATGGTAAACCACCCTTCTCCCAGCTGGTACCTCCCAAGGTTGTTCTGGAGTTGGGTTCCCAACATCCCACATCAGGACTGGTGTAACTCTCTTAGAAAAAGAGGAGAAGAAACTGAGACGTTTGTTCTCTCTCTAAAGTGGTTCAAATCCTCAGTTATGCATGGCCTCAAGAGCAGCAAGACTCCATTCCCTGCCTGAAGAGGACACTGACATCCCCTGTACCTTGTACCACAAAGGGAGTTCCTATAGGAAACCTCTTCCAAGGCGCACCCACCCTGGAGAGGCAGGAGAGCTGGGTGTCTACCGATGGCGACTCCATGGAGACCTGTGATCTCCAGACTCACCTTCCAGAGCAGCACAGCCAGCAGCAGGAAGATGAGGATCCCCACCAGCAAACTTATGGCAATAATCCACCCCACGACGTAGCCACGGGGCTCCAGATTGTGCAAGGCTTCAAAGACCACCTAGGAGGAAAGCAAAAATAAAAACATAAAAACAAGTCCCAGGTCTTGAAGGCACTGTAATGACAACCACCTTGATTTAAGTATCATGGAGTGAATACAAGTACTGAAAAACTTAAAAACACATGCTACTTTTTTTTTTTTGGTATTGGGGATTGAACTCAGGGGCACTCAACCACTGAGCCACATCCCCAGCCCTATTTGTTGCATTTCATTTAGAGACAGGGTCTCACTGAGTTGCTTAGCACCTCAATTTTGCTGAGGCTGGCTTTGAACTCATGATCCTCCTGCCTCAGCTTCCCGAGCTGCTGGGATTACAGGCGTGCACTACCGCACCAACTACACACTACATTCTCAATTGAGAACAGACGACAACGGTCTACCTTGCATTTTGGTTTTGAAACAAAGAATGTAGGGTGCACTCCATGCAAGATAATATTTCTTTTGGGGTGTGCAGCTCAATGTGTAGTTTAGTGGAATTATCTGACTCATGCCATTTTATCCAATAGATTTTGGACCCTTCCAGGGTCTGAAGACATTCTGTCTTGCATCTCATGTTTGTGCCTAACAAACCGAAGGAACTCACTCAGGAAGCCGTGCTGTCTGTGGTTTCTAGTGTGAGCCATATACCAGTGGAGCACGTGTCTCAATGAGGCAAGTATTTCCAACTTTTATGGAAATTCAGTGGCTCACATCAAGTCATGAGAGCCAAGTGTGCGTCTCTTCCCTATTCCATATTGGGAATATTTACGCCATGGAAATTGGCAAACAAATCAGGGTTTCCCTACCCTCCTGCCAGAGAACCAATTGCTAAGCATACATCAACTCACCTCTGACAGCATCCTTCAGCTTGTTTTAGCTCCACTGGCCACAGAGGAGTGTGGTTTGCAGAATTCAAAGCATCTATTGTGCCCTCTGCTGCTAAATAATCCTTCCCAGCTCTAACACAGGGTCTCGTTCAAGCTCCTTACTGCTGAGGAGATGAAAATCCTAGGCCTGGGCAGTCATCTCTCTTGGCTCCGAACTGGCTGGCCTGACCGCAGGCCTCTGCCCAAGGAGTGGCTGTCCTTGGAGCTCCCATCCCTTCCTTGGTAAGGTCTATCTCAGCCTTGCTTGATCCTCAAGGACAACTGACCTTCTGCCTCTGCCAGGAAGCTCCACTGCTCTCAGGAGACTGGTGGTCCAGTCCCATGCTCAAGTTCAAGCAGTGATATTGCCCTGCTACTGCTGCCCAGGACTGCTCATTTTACCTTTTTAGGGTTTGGCTTCCACTCTTTCTAGCATTTGCCAAATGTTCCTCTATGCCAGGCTCTGTGCTTCTCTTGTGATCTCTTCTCTAATTCACACAATCACCCCATGATGGTTTTTTTTTTTTTTTTTGGTACCAGGGATTGAACTCAGGGGCACTTGACCACTGAGCCACATCCCCAGCCCTATTTGTATTTTACTTAGAGATAGGGTCTCACTGAGTTGCTTAGCGCCTTGCTTTTGCTCAGGCTGGTTTTGAACTCATAATCCTCTGGTCTCACTCTCCTGAGCTGCTGGGATTACAGGCATGTGCCACCACGCCTGGCCCTCCATGAGGTCTTCAACATCTATTTTATAGAGAGGGACATGGACATCAGGGGGACATGGCTGTAGGCTATGTAGCTTAAGTACAGAGTCAGAATTTGAACCCAGGTTTTGCCAACATAAAACCCTTAAATCTGAAATTGTAACCAGCACCACAGAGTACCTGGCTGATGGTGGCCCTTTTTGTCAATTAAATGGATTATTTACTGGTTCTGCCCTGGTGGCAAGGCAAGAAAATACAGACATCTCCATCTCTCTCTTTGCTTCCCTTCCTACAGCTGGGGTAGCAGGGAGTTTGTATGTGCTGAGGATTAGTGGGGGCAGTCATCCATAAGATAGATAGGCTGCCAGTTTCACCTGTGGATCCTGAATCCAGAATATTATCTTAAGGAAAATGAGGCAGAGCATAAACCACACCTTGCTTCATGGAGAAAAATGAGAGAAAACTGCCTATAAAACATAGCAGGCCCTTCTGAGAACAGACATGGGGACTCTTTATAGAACTTACTAGCTGGGTGATCTTGGGTGAAGTACTTAATCTCCCTGAGCCTCAGTTCTCTCAACTGTGCAACAGGAACACAATAGCACCTCCCCAGTGGATTAAAAGGAATGATGTGTACAGGCCCCAACAGCACTTGGCACAGAGACCATGCTGACGAGTGAGATGTGCTCCTGTTAGCATCATTATCATTGCTTTTGAGGTTATGCATGCCTTGTTATATTTAATTCTTAAAAATTATTGAAGTCTACCTAGAGAAAAACCTACAATTTACTGTGGGGTTCGGATAAGCAATTCCTGTCTTTAAAGGTTCATGTCGTTGGGTTCTTGCTGTGGATCAAATCGCCCCTCCCACACTCAGGATCCCTCATCCTGTCTTTTCCAGATGAGTCTGGAAGCACTACAACCAAGAGAGAAGATGTGGAGGGAGGAGGGCCCGCCTGGACCCTGTCCTGGTGTGACGGAGGGCAACTGGGACACTACTCTGTTTCTTTCCTTGTGAAACGGGGGTCTGGAGGGGAAAATACCATAGTTCTACTAGAGTGCCTGGAGCCTGGTGGTGAACGTAAGCCTGATAAGCCTTCCCATTGACAGTGCAGAGCTGGGCCAGGCTGCTGCTTGGGCGGGGGAGGGGTGAATTGTAAAGCACGGCCACCATGTTAACCCAGATGGCTCAGGGACACTGAAATCCCCGCCCTGGCAAACCCGTGTTGGAGGTCTGGCTTTGTGGATACAGAGACAGAGTAGCTGCTACAGTTTAGTCTGGCCAATTCCACCAGCATGCCCTGTCACTTCCCTGGAATGCGCCTCATCTTTTTGATTATTTTTCAGTGATGTCCCCGGTCCTCTTGGATGTGTGCTGTATGCTTTGGCAAAGCCCAGACTCTCACATCACGACTCTGGCGAGCTCGTCTGCGGGTGATGATCTGAATGTCTTGCAGTTCTAAGAAGTCACATCTTACATTGAAACCAAACCAAACCAACAAAACATAGAAGGGTCAGCAGCAGGGACCCCCCCCCAGGTCCTGACTCCACCACTCGGGAGAAGTGATCCTGGCCAAGACTCTGGGCCTCTCCTCCGCTCTCCATCCTCTGGTTTCCACCCCTAGTTACTGCCCCAGTTCAGGCCTGGTCCTTAGCTCACCAGCGCTATCTTAGGAGCCTTGGAGAGCCCTACCTGCCATGAGAATTGTCTTTCTAAAGCACAGGTCTCACCAGCTCACTTCTCTCAGCTCACACTATTGATGGCTTCCCTTTTTACTGAGCATCTAATTCAGGACACAAGGCCCTATGACCTGGTCTTCTTCCTTCCTTGACGGCCCCTCCCAGGACATGAATTCATATTCCAGCCATCTTCCTGTGAGGCCAGTGGTCCCCTGCCTCTCTGCAGGCTGCTTTTGCCATCTGGAATGTCCTTCCATCCTGGTCCCTTTGACAGGCTCCATTATAGCTCATCTTTAAAATGTTCATACCTTTCTTTGTTTGGTACCAGGGATTAAACCCAGACCTGCTTACCCACTGAGCCACATCCCCAGTCCCCCCCCCCCTCTTTTTTTTTTTTAAATATAGGCTCTCACTAAGTTGCTGAGGCTGGCTTTGAACTTGTGATCTCTCTGCCTCAGCCTTCCGAGCCTCTGGGATTATAGGTGGGCACCAGCAAGCCTGGCAATGTTCATATTTTTTGATTCACTAATTCTGTACTTGAAAACATGCCCCAAGGCAAGAAATATGAACTACAGGAATATAAAACTGCAGAAAAATTTTAATGCTCACTCCAGAATTATCCATACTGATGCAGAATCAGAAATATTAAAAAATAATAGGGCAATAGATGAGTAAATTTATGATCAATCAAAATGGAATATCATAGAATGAATAGAAATGATGACAAAAAAACTGGCAAAGCACATTTTTAACAAGTTAAAAACATGACAAATATACAGTGAATGCATGCTAATGATTTATATAATTAATTATGGAGGCAGTAAAATGGTGAAACTAGGTCAAAGAGGGATCTGAAAAAAAATGTATAGTCATAGAAAAAAAGAGAGTTCTGAAATCAGATACAAAACTGTTCAATACCCTACAGGGTGATAAACTATGATCTATGGTATTATGTTTTTGGTCGGACAGAAATTACTTTTATTTTTACTGGCAAGAGTCATTTATAACCTCTTAGTATTCTACAGATTAATGTGTAACATCACAGAATCTGAGCCCTAGAGAACTGGGCAAGCTTGCTAGACCAGTGCTTCTCAAAGTTTACTGTTTATGAATAGCATGAGGTAGCTTGTTAAAATGTAGATTCTGGGATGGGCACGGTGGTGCAAACATGTAATCCCAGTGGCTTGGGAGGCTGAGGCAGGAGGATTCCAAGTTCAAAGCCAGCTTCAGCAACTTTAGTGAGGCCCTGTGCAACTCAGAGAGACCCTGTCTCAAAATAAAATATAAAAAAGGGCTAGGGATGTGGCTCAGTAGTTAAGTGCCCCTGGGTTCAATCCCTGGTACCAAAAAGAAAAAAAAAAAAGGTAGTTCTGAGTTGGATGAGGCTTGAGAGTCTACATTTCAGAGAAGTTGCCCATGATATGGATACTATTGGCCCATGGTCCATGCTTTGAGCAGAAAGGGGACAAGAGAATGCTCCAGTATGTCCATGTAATCATTGTTTTGCTTGATTTCCAAATTTTAGTTACTTCTGAAACCATGGAAATAAAGTGGGAAAAATGATTAGTGTTGTGACAATTAGAAATACAATTTAATATATAAAAAGAGTTTTAAGAAAATGGAATGACAAGACTGTGGAACCAACCTAGATGCCCTTCAATAGACAAATGGATTAAAAAATGTGGCATTTATACACAATGGAGTATTACTCTGCATTAAAAAATGACAAAATCATAGAATTCGCAGGGAAATGGATGGCATTAGAGCA